GAGAGAGAGAGAGAGAGAGAGAGAGAGAGAGAGAGATGGGGGGTGGGGGCGTATAAATAGAGTAAGAGCAAAGCAGAGTATGACTGGCTGCTCGATGCCCCCCTGACGGGGCATCGGAGTGTCTGGCGCCTAGCGGTCGAGACTGGCCAGGACCCCGTCATGACCACGCCCTCCAACCAGCACGGACAACCAGTCATACCCTGCCTGCTGACCAGTCGCTGGTAAACTGCCATGAACTCGCAGGACCATGAGACAGGCCACGCCCCTTCACTGGTGACCTTCGTCCTGGTTCCTGTCGTCTCGAGATATTCTTCCATGAGCTGTGACCCAGCTTGGACGGACCTCCTCCGCCTCCAGGGCCATCCTCTAGGCTCCCTCTTCGGGCCTGCCATCCGCCAAGGTGGTTCACTCAGTTAAGGAGAGTCCCTAACGATACATATACTTATGTGTGTGAGCGGTCCTCACCTTTGAGCACGAGGTAAGGCGGACTTTCAGGAAGATGGAAGAGGGAGAGTAGGAGTGCCAGCGGGAGTGCCATGTCCACCAGTGCCACAATAATAATAACAATAACAATATTGATAACATTAATAACAGTAATCATGATAATAATTATGATACTACTAATAATAATGATAATGAAAATAATAACAATAACAATATTGATAACATTAATAACAGTAATCATGATAATAATTATGATACTACTAATAATAATGATAATGAAAATAATAACAATAACAATATTGATAACATTAATAACAGTAATCATGATAATAATTATGATACTACTAATAATAATGATAATGAAAATAATAACAATAACAATATTGATAACATTAATAACAGTAATCATGATAATAATTATGATACTACTAATAATAATGATAATGAAAATAATAACAATAACAATATTGATAACATTAATAACAGTAATCATGATAATAATTATGATACTACTAATAATAATGATAATGAAAATAATAACAATAACAATATTGATAACATTAATAACAGTAATCATGATAATAATTATGATACTACTAATAATAATGATAATGAAAATAATAACAATAACAATATTGATAACATTAATAACAGTAATCATGATAATAATTATGATACTACTAATAATAATGATAATGAAAATAATAACAATAACAATATTGATAACATTAATAACAGTAATCATGATAATAATTATGATACTACTAATAATAATGATAATGAAAATAATAACAATAACAATATTGATAACATTAATAACAGTAATCATGATAATAATTATGATACTACTAATAATAATGATAATGAAAATAATAACAATAACAATATTGATAACATTAATAACAGTAATCATGATAATAATTATGATACTACTAATAATAATGATAATGAAAATAATAACAATAACAATATTGATAACATTAATAACAGTAATCATGATAATAATTATGATACTACTAATAATAATGATAATGAAAATAATAACAATAACAATATTGATAACATTAATAACAGTAATCATGATAATAATTATGATACTACTAATAATAATGATAATGAAAATAATAACAATAACAATATTGATAACATTAATAACAGTAATCATGATAATAATTATGATACTACTAATAATAATGATAATGAAAATAATAACAATAACAATATTGATAACATTAATAACAGTAATCATGATAATAATTATGATACTACTAATAATAATGATAATGAAAATAATAACAATAACAATATTGATAACATTAATAACAGTAATCATGATAATAATTATGATACTACTAATAATAATGATAATGAAAATAATAACAATAACAATATTGATAACATTAATAACAGTAATCATGATAATAATTATGATACTACTAATAATAATGATAATGAAAATAATAACAATAACAATATTGATAACATTAATAACAGTAATCATGATAATAATTATGATACTACTAATAATAATGATAATGAAAATAATAACAATAACAATATTGATAACATTAATAACAGTAATCATGATAATAATTATGATACTACTAATAATAATGATAATGAAAATAATAACAATAACAATATTGATAACATTAATAACAGTAATCATGATAATAATTATGATACTACTAATAATAATGATAATGAAAATAATAACAATAACAATATTGATAACATTAATAACAGTAATCATGATAATAATTATGATACTACTAATAATAATGATAATGAAAATAATAACAATAACAATATTGATAACATTAATAACAGTAATCATGATAATAATTATGATACTACTAATAATAATGATAATGAAAATAATAACAATAACAATATTGATAACATTAATAACAGTAATCATGATAATAATTATGATACTACTAATAATAATGATAATGAAAATAATAACAATAATTACGATAATGATAATAAGAGTAAGCACAAGAATGACGATCAGAACCTGTGGCCTCTCACCCGTGAAATACATGAGTATAAACAAGGTCGAGACGACAGCCAGGTCCCTGAGCACCTCAGGTCGAAGGAGGTCACGCCACGTCCCCTCGCTGTGGCTGCTGCGGTTGAGGTCCTTGTAGTTCTGGATCTCGCCCTCGAGGTCAGCATATCGCCCTCGAAGATCCAGGAGGACTTCGCGCGCCTCGCCCTCGCGTCCTGGGGGGAGTGAGAGGGGACGGAAAGATAGAGGGGGAGGGAGGGAGGGAGGGAGGGAGGGAGGGAGGGAGGGAGGGAGGGAGGGAGGGAGGGAGGGAGAGAGAGAGAGAGAGAGAGAGAGAGAGAGAGAGAGAGAGAGAGAGAGAGAGAGAGAGAGAGAGAGAGAGAGAGAGATGGGGGTGGGGGCGTATAAATAGAGTAAGAGCAAAGCAGAGTATGACTGGCTGCTCGATGCCCCTGACGGGGCATCGGAGTGTCTGGCGCCTAGCGGTCGAGACTGGCCAGGACCCCGTCATGACCACGCCCTCCAACCAGCACGAACAACCAGTCATACCCTGCCTGCTGACCAGTCGCTGGTAAACTGCCATGAACTCGCAGGACCATGAGACAGGCCACGCCCCTTCACTGGTGACCTTCGTCCTGGTTCCTGTCGTCTCGAGATATTCTTCCATGAGCTGTGACCCAGCTTGGACGGACCTCCTCCGCCTCCAGGGCCATCCTCTAGGCTCCCTCTTCGGGCCTGCCATCCGCCAAGGTGGTTCACTCAGTTAAGGAGAGTCCCTAACGATACATATACTTATGTGTGTGTGAGCGTCCTCACCTTTGAGCACGAGGTAAGGCGGACTTTCAGGAAGATGGAAGAGGGAGAGTAGGAGTGCCAGCGGGAGTGCCATGTCCACCAGTGCCACGATGAAGTAGCGCGCGTCGTATCCCACGCTCACTGTCACTACTTGGCCTGCGGTGAGAGCGGCGGGGAAGGCGATGAGAGTGAGGGCTGAGCAGCTACGTATGCTGCGGTGATGGGCTTGGGGAGTTTCCTTGCAACTGAGAATAGTTATTTCATTTGTCTCTAAGAATTTGTTTTGGGTATTGCAAGCACATGCAGTTGTGTATTAGCTTACTCAAGGATATTCATTAAGTGCATTTAAGTACAATTATTTGTAACTCAAAGCACATCTCGTCCCAGAAACGGACCTAGCAAAATGCCGAGGTTGAGCATCATGGCCATCGTGCCCCGCACCTCGGGGTCCGCCAGCTCTATGCCGTAGCTGTTGGCCACGAGCGAGAGCGCGCCGGCCGCCATTCCCGAGAGGCCGCTGGAACAAAACAGATCTAGCTCAATAATCTGTTTTAAATAGTTTTGTGGCTCCATTTGACGTTGACGTAATTAAGGTAGTCACGCCATGATTTTGCTTTCAGTTTTTGCCGGCATTTTATATTTATAAGATTGCATAAGATAAGGGGAGACGGTATAGGAGAGGAAAAATAGAAGAGAAGATAGAAAAAAAAGAAAAAGAGAAGGGAGAAGATAATAATGATAGCTATTAATGAGACGATAGCTATTAATGAAAGACGCTTTAATTAAAAGAGTTTAAACGAAAAAGAGAGAAACACACTCACCGTGCCACCAGAATGCCAACGAGATTAGGCAAGAGTGCCACCCCGAGCCAGCCCAGCAGCGCCGTGGAGCCAGACCCGAGGATGCACGCCCGCCGCCCGAGACGCATCATGAGCGGCGCCACGACCCACGGGCCCACCGTCGAGCCCAGCATCACCAAGCTGCCTAGATAGATAGATAGATAGACAGATAGATAAATATAGATAGATAGATAGATATAATAGAGATGGGAAGGAAGGGGGTGGAGAGAGAGAGAGAGAGAGAGAGAGAGAGAGAGAGAGAGAGAGAGAGAGAGAGAGAGAGAGAGAGAGAGAGAGAGAGAGAGAGAGAGAGAGAGAGAGAGAGAGTACATAGTAAATCAGCATTAATAGAGTTTAACACTTTTATTAGTTAATGACGTACACAATTGTAGCATTTACAAGCTACTTATATATATATGTCATAAAACAGAGAGAGGGAGAGAGGGGAGTGAGAGATTGAGAGAGAGAGGGAAGGAAAGGGAGAGGGAGGGAAGGAGAGAGAGGAGAGAGAGGGGGGGGGAGCGTACATAGTAATTTAGCATTAACATAACTTAACATATTCATTCCCGACGTACACAATTGTAGCCTTTACAAGCTATAAAAATATATACGTCATAAAATGGAATTTATGATGACAAACACGTCATCAAGATAACCACACGTACCAATAAAAATAACATTTGGAAACCCGAAAGAAATGGGTTTCAGATAAAGGCCTGGCGGGAAACCTTGCTTCATGAAGCCTTCGGTACACTCCGAACTCTACAAACAATTCCGCGGTATTTGCCATCGTTTCCAAACTTCGAGATATAATGAGTTACGAAAATAACTTGTAAACCGACTTCAGTCCTCATTTGCCGAGCCCTGAATAGCGTGCACGGCCGTAGTTCTTAGAATCAAGTAAATAGCGATGGGCAAATAGCCCTTATGTTATGTGAGTATCGGAGTCCCAGAATCAGTATCGCCTGTGGGTAGTTTTGAGAAGGCAGAATCGATGATGTTTCATGTATATATATTTTTTGGGGGGAGGGAGCTCGGAAAGGTATGTGGGGAGGCAAACATGTTGATAATGAATTGAAGCGATCTAAACGGTATATCCTACGTTGCTATATACTTTCAGCTGTTTTAATATTAAAATACACCAAGAAAGTGACACGAACCTCACACCTTAACTCCTGTTTTACGGTTCACGTTGTTAATGTGAATTGTATGAAATAAAAAGTATATTTGATGTCACCGCCAAAAGACCCAACAACGGGCGGTCCCTACCCAGTCCAAGGAAATGGTTGCGAGTCGGTGTAGAACGCAGTTGCCTCAGCATCCAAGTCTGCTGATTAATGGAGTCTTAACACTTCTGGAGTTCTTAGGTGTAACCCTTGATTCAAAACTGACATTTGAATTGCAGATTAGGAATATGGCCCAAGCAGTTTTATCTAAGTTAGGCATCATTCGCAAGTG